GGGAGCCGCCAGCTGCACAACGGAGCACAGACAGGACAGGGGAGGAGCAGATGGGGTGAGGAGGAGGCTGTGTTAATTACTGCCGCTAACGAAGCCGTATTTTCCTTCCCCCCCCAAAGTTGATTGGCTGCATCATCGGGCGTCAGGGCGCCAAAATTAACGAGATCCGCCAGATGTCGGGGGCGCAGATCAAAATCGCCAACCCCGTGGAGGGCTCCACCGACCGGCAGGTGACCATAACTGGATCCGCAGCCAGCATCAGCTTGGCCCAGTATCTAATTAATGTCAGGTAAGTCCCCCGCTAATGAGCCTTGAGGTTTTGGGGGGGTGGGGGTTGGGGTGTCCCCTCCTTTTGGCCCCGATTTTTTTTTTTTTGTTTGTTTTTCTCCCTCTTTTTTTCTTTCGGTCCTTTCCTGTCCCATCCCTACCCCGTCCCTGCTTGTCCCCTTTTCCTGCCGCCGTCGGCTCCCGCTCGCTGGGAAGCTGGAGGGGGGGGGGGTAACGGACCTGGCTGGGAAAAAAGGGGGGGTCTGACCCCCCTTTTTGGGGGGCTGAGTGGAGCCGGTGGCCATGCAGGGGCCGTTGTTGGCCCCCCTGGGGCTCTGGGCGTTTCGCTCTGTGCTGTTTTCACCCGCCGTTTGCGTGCCGAGGGGCTGGTTTTTGTGGGGGTGATAGAGGGACTCCCCGGAGGTGCCCAGTGTGCTCCCAGTTGGATGCTGGAATCCCAGGGAGAGGAACTGGTGCCCCTTTGGCTCCGCTCTGACACCCCCAGCCCTGCTGGGGGACGGTGGGCTACCTGGCAGCCCTGGCTGCTTGCCCACGGTGTGGCTGGCTCTTGCCACCATGTCCCCGTGTCCCCTGCCATGGGCTGGGACCGACATCCTCCCGTGGGGCTGGGGGTGGAGGACAGGAGTCAGGGGGAGCCCCCCAAACCCCCAATGGCAGGACCCCAGGGGGAAGCCCCCAAGCCCCCCAGTGGGGATCTCCAAACCCTGCAGCAGGGACCCATAGGGACCCCCAGACCTCACGGTGGTGACCCCCCAAAGCCTGCAGCAGGGACCCCTAAACCCTCTGCAAGGGACCAGGGGGAACCCCTAAACCTCTGGCAGGGACACAGGGGAATGCTCTGGCAGGGAGCAACAAACCCCCTGGCAGGGAGAAGGGGGACCCCCAAGTTCCCTGGTGGGGACCCCCAAACCCTCTGCAGGGACCACTGGAGACCCCTGAATCCCCTGGCAGGGATCTGGTGAGGCGGGGGACACCCCCAAATCCCTTGCAGGGACCCCCTGAACCCCCTGGTGGGGACCCCCAAACCATCTGCAAGGACTGGGGGGGACCCCCAACCCCCCTGCAGGGACCAGGGAGAACCCCAAAGTGCTCTGCAGGGACCTCCAGACCCCCTGCAAGGACTGGGGAGACCCCCAAACCCTGCTCTTTGTCACCTGGGGTGACACCCCAACTCCCATCAGGAACAGAGGAGAAGCCGCTTGTGATTTCTCTCTCTGGTTTGAGTTTTGGGTGGGTTTTTGGTTTTTTTTTGCCTTATTCCACTTTTTCCTTCCCACTTTTGAGGTGCCCGGCTGTGGGGGCACTGGGATGGCCTGGAGCCTGAGCCGGGGGTGGGG